ACTTGATGGCATTTAACAACAGATATACAAAATATAGAACCAGTATTTAAAAAACAAATGACCATATTATATCCAGTGGGGACAAGGGTATCTATCAGTGAGGCAACACCTCCTTCTGCAAGTAGAATCTAAGAGCTCAGTGCAGAGGAGGTAAGACAAGAGGGAAATCTAGTATGACTATGGGGAGGTGGTAGAGCCATGCAGACTGGGAGAATAAAACATGAACAAACATTTCCTGATTATATGCTAGTATAAGTTGGAAGATTAGTTTCTTGTTCTAAATTTCCACCCCTGAAAAGCAGTTAAAACACAACCCAGCTGTATTAAAATAGGATATTGTTGTTATTGTTATGTGCCATGGAGTCGGTTTTGACTCATAGTAACCCTGTACAGGGTTTCCGAGGCTGTACATCTTTACAGGAGCAGAAAACCTCATCTTTCTCCAGCAGAACAGCTGGTAGTTTCGAACTGCTTTTACCTTAAGGTTCGCAGCCCAATTTGTAACCACTACACTACCAGAGCTCTTTTGTTGTTGTTGTTGTTGTTAAGTGCTATTGAGTCAATTCAGACCCATAGCGACCCTGTATAGGGTTTCCAAGGAGCAGCTGGTGAGCTTGAACCACCAACCTTTCAGTTCATACAACTTTGCAGTCTGGCGCATTAGCCCACAGCGCCACACCAGGACGGTTTCTATCAATAGGCTGATAAGGTACACAATCTAGTGATTACATTTTTAAAGTTTCTTTATCAAGGCACTTCTTAGGAATATAGCTGTGCACCAGGTATTACTATGGGCTGGGGACATAGAGACCAAAGCCATGGTTTTCTGCTTTCAATGAGCTGACATTCTTTTGAGTGTGAGAAACATAAGTGTGTGTCAGCAACTGAGAAACTGAGGCCCAGTGAGCTATGATTTGGCCACGGTCACCTGTCCTGTAGACCTTACTTCTGGAATGCTGACTTCATAAAATATATTAAATAATCTAAGCAAATACGTCATTGAGGGGGCATGTGTTCAGAGATACAAACAGAACCATTCTTACATGAAAATTTACTCCTTTCTTTGAGCCAAGAAATACTCCAGAATTTAACACATCATGTAGCCACATGGTAAGGAAAGAAAGAAGGCTCTGAAGGTGACAGTAGTGACTAACTGATCAGGGTGGGTGGAGAAGAAATCCTCCGTAGACAAGGTCCTCCCTATGGCAAGCAGTGGTTTCCCACAAGACATAAAGAGCAGACAGCACACGTGCAGTGCCCAGTTAGTCAATGCCATTAAGGGGGGGGTGAGGGTGGGGGAGTTTATAACAGCTCTTCCCAAACCAAAATATGTCCCTAAAAGCTACTGTCCCTACTTCCCCCCACCCCCCTTCGTTTTCAAGCTCTTTGAAAAAGAGCAGCTGCAATGTCTCTTCCTCAAGTTCCTTTCACCCACTTGGATCTAAGTTCTTCCCCTACCACTTGGCCTTGTTTTCAGATCCTTTTGGAACCCTCTAAGCCCTTTCCCCTTTTCTCAGCCTGGGAACTCTACCATTCTTCAAGACCAGCTCAACCATCATCACCTCTATGAAGCACTTCTCCATCTCTGTGCTTCCTCAGGGTTGTACCTATGCCTCACCACAGCATTCATCTGATTACAGTGCTACTGTTTACCCAAGTATACCAATAACCCCTCTCCCACCTCACCCTCGTCCCACTAGCCCATAAACTCTTAAAGGCAAGAACTGGTTTTTATTCACTTTTCCATTTGCTGCTGTTGTTAAGGGCTCACAGCGACCCTGAATAGGGTTTTCGAAGAGCAGCTGGTGAATTTGAACTGCCCTTCTGGTTCAAACAGACCTTATGGTCGAATGCTTATCCTACAGCGCCACACCAGGAACCACTGAGCTGGTTCCAACCCATAGCGACACTCTATAGGGTTTCCAAGGAGCTGCTGGTGAGTTTGAACTGTTGACCTTGCAATCCAAACTGACCTTGGGACCAATGCATTATCCCATGACGCCACATGCTCTAATCCAAAAAACCCATTGCTGTCAAGCAGGTTCCAACTCATCTGGACCATACAGTACAGAGCAGAACTGTCCCACAGGGTTTCCAACGCACTGTGAGATAAGCACTGGATCACAAGGTTGGTTTGAAATGGAAGGTTCAAACCAGCCTCTCCTCAGAAACCCTATACAGGGTCACTATGAGTCTGAAAAGACTCGATAGCACTTGGTAACAATAATCTTTACAGAATTATCAAAAGTTAATTTTTTTTTAAAGTTGCAGAATCCACAACACGTTTCCACCTAAATTGTTCTAACAATTTACCTAAACATGCATGCACAGCTGAGGAGCCCTAGTATGGCTATGCCGGATAAGCAATGGACTGCTAACCACAAGGTTGGTGGTTCAAACTTACTAGCTGCTCCTCAGAAACCCTATACAGGGTCATTGAGTCAGAACCAACTTAACTGCATACAACAACAATATGCACACTGAGAAGTACCTACATTCTGACTATTATAAAAGAATCTTGGCTATAACCTCAATCTTTTAGTTAATAAACAAATAGACGGGAATCAGTTAAATTAAGACTTTACAGTTCCTCAATTATGTTTTTAATTCCTAAAATTCTGATCACGTGTTGTTTGTTTTACTTTTTTCTTTCTGTGCCATGCAATGAGTTCAAAGGTTCACACAAGCTGCTACAAGGAAAAAAACGATGATATATTTTTATCAATGTTTATTGTGGCTGCTCAATTATCGCCAAAAATAAGTAACACTTTTTTCTGTTTAGTTTCACTTTCTATATAAGGAAAACACACATAGTATTTCCTATTATCAGTAAAAACAAAAAAGCCCTTCAATTTTAATAAAACCGAAACCAAACCCGCTGCCGTAGAGTATACCAGAGTAGAACTGTCCTGTGGCATTTCCAAGGCTGTATCTATGGAGGTAAACAGACACATCTTTCCCCCAATGGATCAGCTGGTGGGTTTGAACCACCGACCTTTCAGTTTGCAGCCAAGTGCTAAACACGGTGTTCAATTTTAATAAAGACATCTAAAAATCTTTTATTAAGACTGTGTCCTGAAGGGTCACTATGAGTCAGAATCGACTAGACGGCAGTGAAGTTTTAGGATTATGAGACTAAATTTGAACCATAAAGACCCAA